TTTATTAACAAGGTCACTACCAAGACTTCATTGTCTTCTCTCAACTTAGCAGACTTATCCTATCTACTTTGATCCTTCAGTTACAACAACATGGTATGAGAGCTAGAGTGGATTATAAGGCCTGTCAAGTTCTTGTTCTTCCTAGAACAAACTATCATTAAAAATACTACAACTCGTCATCACAATGGCTCCCGAAGGAAATGCCACTGCAGACTCTCCGGGCCCACCACCAGCAACGCCTACTGCGCCATCAGCGGTGACCTCTGTCAGCGCTGCTCTCGTTGATCAGCTAGTCGCTCGCATCAACGCTCTTGAGAGCCATCAAGCCATGAGCATCGATGGCTCAAGTTACGCAAGAGGAGCTGTTGGACTCCCTCTCCCTGGAGAAGACCGCCGCGTCAACTCCGAGAGGTCTTTCACCTTTAACAACCGTCAAGCTTCAGCTCCTGCGCAAGACAGTCAACAACGTGTGCACTCATAAACAATCTTGACCATGCAAACAAAGATTGTTTTGACTTTAAAGCTGAAGACCTCAATTCCGTTTGACGGCAAGGATTTCTACACCTGGAGCTTCGAATTCAAACTCCTCGCAACAACTGCTCAGATCTGAATGTACTACGACGGAAGCTTACCTTTCCCATCGGAAGGAACCATCCAGGAGAAGCATCAATACTACCACGAATCTCTTCTTGCGTACACCACTCTTCTCCGAAACCTGTCCCTCTCCAAGCAGCTTGGCATTCGCTCCTACGAGTCAGAGTGGGCACCCGCGTTTGCATCTTGGGAGCACCTGAAATATTCATACATGGCAATAGATCCGGTTACAATGAGTCGCCTACTCAGCCAACTGACATCGGTTAAAATGCAACAAGGGGAGAAAGCGGGACCGTATGTCAACCGGTGCCGCAATCTGCGCGACCACATTAAGAATTGCGGCGGAACTGTCCCCGACGACATGTTCGTCTCGATGGTTCTCTCCGGCCTTGGACCCGATTGGCGCCAATGCCAGTCGTTGCTCCGCGCTCGAGCAACTTTTTTCGAGTCCGCCCTGTGCGCCACGCTTCTCTCTGAGCAGAAAGAGATTGATCTGTACAATGAGAAGAACAACAAGCGGGAGAAGTTAGTATTCTTCACTGGAGCGACTGAAGGGGAGCAGCATGGAAAGAAGGGAACATTCTGCAGATACTGCAAGAAGCACGGACACACTATTGATCGCTGCTACAAGCAAAAGGCCGCTGACGAAAGGCGCAACAACTCCTCTACTCAGCAGCCTTCGGGACCCTCGGCTTCTCCAGCTGCGACATCAACCATGTCGCCGCCTTCCGTCGCGAGCACTTCACAAACTCCTGCACGAATTTCAAACAAGGATAAGGGCAAGGGATCAATCATGAACTGCATGGCGCGACGTCACAGAGGCATCCGATACTACGACAACATCGATACCCACCAATCGCGCCCATCAATCCCATCACGCCAAGTCCGAACAATGACCCCACCCTCAGCAGCTGGATGAATCGACCAACCGACATCCCACCTGACTTCGAGTTGCCTCCAAGCACTCCGGAGTCTCCTCCTAGTTTTCCCGCGAGAAGATGCATTGACCTCTCGCCGTACACTGGAGATTTCGACCGCATCATCACTCCGAAGATCGTTGGGATTACGCGACGGAACCGCGAAAATTACAATACCTGGTATCTCGACAGCTGCTGCGGTCAACACATGGTGGGATCACCGACGTTCATTAGCAAATCAAAGCGCATGCGGCGACCGTGCGAAATCACCGTCGCCAACAACAATCGTCTCAAGGCTTACGAAATCGGAGAAATTTACCTTGAGGCCGAAGACACTCACTTCACCATTCACATCGGAGACGTGCTGGTCGTTCCTGATCTGCAATACAACCTCCTTTCTTCAGCGCAACTCATGAGATGCGGAGTCGACATTCGGAGCAACTGCGAAGACAATACCTTCGAATTGTTCTACAAAAATACATACATCGGCAAGGCCGTCGACGACGACGGAGTCTTCGTATTAAACTTCACGGCGGAAGGCACGACAGGCGACTCCGAACGGACTCTACTCCTGAAGACGACTCCCACCGAAGCACCGACTTGGTCACATCCCAATGAGATGGACCTCGAGCGTCCTGCCTCAGATGGACTTCTCCGCCTGCACACCGTCCCAACCGCCTCAACTTCCAATCCAGACGACACTGGACCTGCAACAATGGAGCAAGAAGAAAACAACGGAGGTCAGCAACTGCAGAAGCTGACACCAGAGGTTGGGGAACAACTCCAGCAGCATGAACCGGCTGGTGAACTCCTACTCCTACAATCGGGCCATGGGGAGTCATTGAACCACCCCGAACAACACCCGGAGGCGGCTGGGATGCCTTCCGAGTGCCAGAAGAGGCGGCAGAAGGCACCGCTGAAGGAGACCCAGGTGGCGCCGAAACAACAGAAGAAGAAGGATGCGGATCAGTGCCGATGGGCGCTTCTGGCGAAGGAGGCTGGGGAACTTCCACCTCCCGCAACGAATGGGGTTACCCAGAAGCTCCAGGCCTTCCCCCCGAACCTGTCGCCGAAGTCGACTCATACTGGGCAACACGCGGCACCAGCTGGGGCGGACCTCCTCTTCCGGACCAGTATGCTCCTGACACACCAGAAAACGTACAAGAGGAGTCAGAATAAGTGACTTACGAGTACTTCAGTAAAGCAGCGGAACTACCCGAACCTACCGAGGAAGCGCCGCCGCCGGAACAAGGACCTCAGTTAATCTCGGTCACCGGCGACGAGTACCTCTACCATCGCGTCCCGATGGAAGGACTTCCCGCCTCTGAACGGCCCAAAGCAGCACCCTTTCCGCAAACGCTCGTCACAGGCAACGCAGTTCACTCCGCAGATACGGATGACATCGCCAAATTCCCGAAAGAGGTCCTGGAGCACCTCTCCGTTCGAGCCTTTGCAGCAGACGCCGACACCGCCACAGACAAGGGACCTGAAAAGGAGCAGAACGACGCAGCAGAAAGGAACAAATACTATCAGAGAACCGTCGGTTACCGCGCGGAACCAGAAACATGGCATCAACGAGTCGGACACCCCTCTCACACCACGCTCAAGAACTCACTCAGGGCCGGAGTCTTTGACGAAGACGCGCTGCTTCTGCCTCGAGGAGGTTCCCTCACAGCAGACTCAGCAGACGTACCGTGCATCGTCTGCCCTGCCGCGTCCTGCGGTTGTGGTTGGCGAGAGCAGCTGCGGAAGCGGCAAAAGGACCTGCCTGCGCAGATCGGAAGAGGCGAGGCGACGAGCGAGGAGTCTGCGAGGCGGCGGCAGGGTGCGATGAGCGAACGCGCGAGGAACGATCGAGACGGGCGCGAGCGAGAGAGGAGCGAGCGACGGGCGCAAGGGCGCGAGTGCGCCAGGGGCAGACCTCGACACGCGGTCACATCTATCGCAAATGACACGCGCGGTGCTTGAGCGTTGCGCGCTCGCGACTGGGCGGTACCGGAGGTTTTGCGGGGAAAAGACCGTTGGAGCGGCGCGAGACGGGCCGGCCGCGGGGCATGCAACGCGCATCCGCGGCAGCGCCCCTACTGGGCCTGCCGGGACTGCCGCCATCGGAACGTTGGCACGTCGTGACACCGTAGGCTCGCCGACGATGGCTCAACGGATTATGGATCGTAACTATAACCGAAAGTCTGCGCCTTTGTCTGGGCTGAAACCACCGACCGAGCTGAAGAGATGCCCCTTTCGTGTCAGATGACCAGGAGGTGGGTGGATTCAATCAAAGCTGAAATAGAGTCGATTTCGTTGGCTGGTTTTGCGGTGAAGGGGAGCATGCAAGGAAGTGGAGGAAGTGAAGCAAGCTGCTACGGGCGCGGGATATTTTGAAGAATTTGCGGCTTCTGGGAGGAAAAATATCTGCTAATGAGAGCTCCTCTATAGATGAAACTATATGCTATCTCTAATCTGCAATGTTGACGATTTGTTCTTGTGCTATTGGGAATCTCACCCATCGGAAATCTCATATTGGTTCATGAAAGAGACAAACTTCTCGCAAAGTGTACAATTTACACGCTTCATGTACCCGTACACTCCTCGTTGTACCTCGTCACTCTTATATCGAGCAATTTCAACAACTAATCTCCCACAGTCCTTCCTTTCGGCCACACCAACTTCAGCGCCTATTTTCCTCCGCAACGCAGAGGCAAGCACATTACTCCCGTCACTATAATCGAATAGTCGCGCCACCGTCTCTGCGCAATTCGCTTTTCTTTCCCTGTTTCAACGCTGCTGCTACAGATTAGGAAAGGAGAGAAGAAATCAGTTCCTCGCTAGCAAGGCAAGATTCAAGCCGGCATTATGACCTAGGTCGAGCGCCTCTCCCACCCCAGGGCGTGCAAGGCGAAGCGAACTCTGCTGGAACGCTGTGCGCACCAAACTTTCCCAATGCGTATCATGGGTACCACCGCTCTCGTGTCACCTTGCCGCTAGTAGACAGGTCAATTCTACCGCCAGCCTCTCCCAATTTCCGCCAACGTTTCCGCATTGCGCATTGCGCGGGCAGACGGCAGAAGCCGCATTCCGCTTTTACTGGAAGACGACAGCAGACGGTAGAACCCGCGGTCCGGCCTCGCGCTGTTTCCGGTGTCTTTGGCAGGCGCCATTCGGGTGACATTCGGGTGACATTCGGGTGACATTCGGGCCGATCACCATGCCTGCGTGCCGCCCAGGACCAGCCATGGCTGCCTGGCGGCAACTGGGCTAGCCCCGAGTAGTCTACTTTAGCCTCGAATACAATCGTAGGTCTTCGCTCAATTACAGTATTTAATAGGCGTTTGCGGAGATTGGATATCTCTAGAGGACCCGCGCGGTTGCCGCGGTAGAGGCTTTGATTGAGAAAGTCGGTTAAGAGACCTTTGCGGCGTCCCAACCGAACGGAGTTTTGCGTGGTTGCGGTTTGTAGCGCGATTCGTCTTTTAGAATTCTCGGGTCAAGATGATGGCCAAGCATCGGCTGCCGACCATCTTCAGCGTCAATCAGGGCCGTACGATTGTCGCGGCGATGGACGGCTGCGAGATGTGCATCGACGCGCTGCGCGATTTCGTGGAGGAGCGGATGCGGAAGCACGACGACCGTTTGATCGTGGCGCTCTATCACAACCGCACGTCGTGGCGATCCGCGCTCCGCGTCCCCCGAGCAGGCAAGCCAGGCCCCTCCGTTTCTCGTTTCCCGTCTCCCGAGCAGCGCGTCCCTTCCTTTTCTCCCTTTTCTCGTTCCCCCTCACTATTCTCTCTCCCCTCCTCACTCCCTCACTTCTTCTTCCTCACTCCTCCCTCACCCATTCCTCCATTCCCCATGCTTACCCCTCCCTCACCATCTGCCCTCCATACCCAAACCTAGGATGAATTATTCACATTTATAGGTAAGTTCGAACTTCTTTTCCTGGATTTTATCCAGCCGGCAAGCGTTCAAGTTCCCCCACAGCCCACACCTGAGGTGCACTCAACAGCCCAACAACTGCCGTTTCTAAGCTATTGCAAATGCCCCGCGCTCCCACCAAGGTTCACACCTCCCCTCCCCTTCTCCCGGCCTCCCCTCCTGGCCCCTGTTGCCACAAACTTGACCTAGCCCCCATTCCCCATACCCCCATGTGCCTCCCTTTTTCATCCCCCCTTCCTCCCCCAAACCCCTTCCTCCCCCAAACCCACCCCTCTCCCCTCCCTCCCTCCTCCGCTCCCCCATCGCCCACCTCTCTTCCTCCCTGCTCCCTCGTCAAGTCTCCATAGACTCCATGTAAGGGACGTAGTGTTTTGAGACGTCTAAAAATGGACTCCAGGTAAGGGGCGTAGAGGACCTGACCTGACATGGATTTCAGCCACCGGGAGCAGCCCAGTCATTCCCCCTTTCCAATCGCCCTTCCCATCATTAACCACATTCTCTTTCACCCACTCCCGCCTCCTCCCCCTTCTCCTCTCCCTCTTCGGCCAGACTCCATAGAGGGCGGAGAGGACACGGACGGCAGCGGCCGCGGGCAGCCCACCTGTTCACTTTCGACAGTTCCTTGACGGCAGCGACCGCGAGCAGCGCAATCCCTCCCATCCGCCTAACCCCCTGACCACCAACATCCAACTCTATCTCCCCCCCCCTCCCTCTTTGCAGACTCCATAAAGGACGGGGAAGACACGGACGGCAGCGACCGTGAGCTAACCAATCAACCCCCTCTCCCTTCCCCTCTTCCCCTTACCAACCCCCTCTCTTCTCCCCCCTTTCGCCCCTTTGCAGACTCCATAAAGGACGGGGAGGACACGGACGGCAGCGACCGCGAGCAGGCGCTCAAAGAGCTTATGACGGCCATGGGCAGCGCGGGCGGCGGAGGGCACGGGCCGTCGGTGAGCAACGTGTCGACCATCGGGACAGGCACGGCGGTGATTGATGAGGCCACGGCGCCCGTGCTGCTGAAACGACTCAAGTGGGATGGGGACGCTAAACAAGCGCTCTCCCGCCTTGTGGGAGTGTCCATTGAGAAAAAGGTGAGGGGAGAGGGGGATTTGGAGGGGGGTGGGTAGCGAGGCTGTGAGGGGAGGGAGAGAGGGAGGGAGAAACCAGGGGTAGGAGCAAGGGATGGTAGGCGAGGGCAGGGGGCGTATGGTAAGGCACGATCAGGGCGCGCACGGGCCGTCGGTGAGCAACGTGTCGACCATCGGGACGGGCACAGCGGTGATCGATGAGGCGACGGCGCCCGTGCTGCTGAAACGACTCAAGTGGGACGGCGACGCCAAGCAGGCTCTGTCGAGGCTTGTGGGGGTTTCTATCGAGAAGAAGGTGAGGGGAGGGAATTGGGGGGATGGACGGGATCGGGGGAGGGAATTGGCGAGGGAGTATGGGAGGGAATTGGCGAGGGAGTATGGGAGGGAATGCAATGTGGAGCAGGGGAGGGGTGGGAGGTAAGAGCATGGATGCTGAACAGGCGCTGTCCTGTCTCATCAGAGCATGGATGGTCTCTTGAAGAGAAGGTGAGGGAGAGGAAAGGGGAGGGGGTGATCTCAGCCTGTGTGCTTGTGCTTGTGCTGGTGCTGGCCAGGCCACCACACATGGCATCTCCATCCAGGCACGGACCCACGCAGCACACAGTCCCCCCTCTTGCTTGCGTAAGGAGGCCTTTTCGAGACTACTATGAGTCAGGGAGGCCACCACACGTGGCATCTCCAGGCACGAACCCATGCAGCACAGCACACAGTCCCCCTCTTGCTCCGCCCTGCCCTTCCCACCTCCCCTCAGGTGCGTTTCGAGGTGGCTCTATTGAAGTCCAAGTCTGCGGCCTCTGCAGTAGTCAGTTTTTGCGACATGATCTCTGCTGACGTGCTCCTTCTCTCCCCCCTTCTCAAAATCATCCTAAAAAAAAGTGGTAGCCAGTTTTTGCGACATGATCTCTGCTGACGTGCTCCTTCTCTCCCCCCTCCTCCCCTGGCCCCCTCAGGTGCGTTTCGAGGTGGCTCTACTGGATTCTAAGTCACTGGCCTCTGCGGTCGTCAGCTTCTGCGACATAATCTCAGCAGACGTGCTCTTGTTGCCCAATTAACACGCACTCCCACTCTTGCTCCTTCTCACCTCCCCTCAGGTGCGTTTCGAGGTGGCTCTACAGGATTCCAAGTCTGTGGCCTCTGCGGTCGTCAATTTCTGCGACATGATCTCTGCTGACGTGTGTTTGCTCTCCCCCCTTCTCCCCTGGCCCCTTCAGGTGCGTTTCGTGATCTGATAAAAGAAGTGTTCTGAGACGTCTCAAAACTCTCCCCCCTCCTCCCCTGGCCCCCTCAGGTGCGCTTCGAGGTGGCGCTACTGGATTCCAAGTCTGTGGCCTCTGCAGTCGTCAATTTCTGCGACATGATCTCAGCGGACGTGCTCGTGCTGGCCACGACACGTGGCATCTCCAGGCACGAGCCAGCTCAGCAGAACACGATCCAGAAGGTGCTGTCCAAGATTGGCCACGTCAGCCACACTGAGCTGGCGCACCACTGCAGCAAGAACGCGCCGTGTGCCGTTGTGATTATATCGGAGCATGAGGAGGAGGACGAGGAGGAGGATGGTTAGGGTTTTGAGAGTCGAGACGGCTTAGGTAAAAATTGGCCACGTCAGTTGCACAGAGCTGGCGCAGCAGTGCAGCAAGAACGCAGCTGTGAGTGCTCCACCTCATGTTCGCGGTGGTGATTTTATGGCACGTGAACATGAGGAGGAGGACGGGTAGAGTGGGTTTGCTGGAGGTGCATTTGTGGCACGTGAGGTGCGGTACGTGAATCAAATCAGAATGAGGAAGTGGATGGAGGTGGATGGGGAGGAGAAGGCAAAGCATGAGGGGAGTTGGCATGGGCTGGTCGGCTGTGGGGTATGCAGGGGAGAGCATGGCGGTGCGACAGGAAGTTGCCTACAGACAGAAGCTCCGGAAGAGGGATGGAGGGCTGGGGAGGTGCTGCTAAGTGCCCACCATGCCATGCCCCTGAACCTGAATTCACCCCTTCGAGCTGGCTCTAGGTAGGAGAATTTCCGTCAGGGTTTTAGGGAAGGATGTGTTGCTTTCATAAGCGATTTCTGCCACCTTATTGGCACAACGCACTTTGTTTTTGCAGAGCATTGTAATGTGCTCTGGTCATATTTCATGCCATGTGATATGTTTTGTACTATTGAATATTGGTCACAAGGAGCATGAGTAGTGTGTGCTTGTTTGCATGTATCGAATGCTTGTGTGTCACCTACCTGTAGTGCTGTATCGTTTTCCAACCCTGCTTGAAAATGGGGTTTATCGGAGATTTCAAGGGAGTGGACAATTCGTAATAAACCACGCTGCTGTGAGGTCGCATTTCGTTTCTACTTGGACGACGAGGTTCAAGTTAGCTCTCCACGATTTGTCGGGTCCGAACATATCGTGGTTCCAGTTCGGCCATCTCGGACGTGCGCAAGTGTTCGAACAAAGGGAATCCAACAAATCACGAAAACCTCGGTCCCACAGTAACTGCATTTATTCCGGTTTCGTGGGGTTGTTAGCGAAACCGTTTGGTGCTATGCGACAACGCTTCTGAGTAACCAGATGGAGACTGAACCGTTTGAATTTCTACAGGACCCGTCCTAGGCACGCGTCAGACAGGAGTCCCTAGTAGATTCCTCTGCGGCCATGCTAGTGCTGTCGCGTCGCATTGTCAACATGACGCGGAAAGCTGATATCTGTGAACGAATTTGCTGTGACTAGCCTGTTTATTAGCATCCTAAAAACAAATTTCCTCTTGTTCAATTTTGACCCGTCAATTGTCGTGGCGAGGCGGCAGGATTCCGCGCGAGAGCGCGTGGTGCGATCGCGTCGCGTCGCGCTCGTAGCGGCCATTCCGGTGGCGCTCGTGGCGCTCATCCTCTTCGTCTTCGTCCTCACCCCCGCCTCCGAAAACGACAACGGCTCCCCTGCCCTAATCGGCGCGCATGGCAGATCATCCGGTCATGGAGGAAGCGCGTCGGGTCGCGGGGCTTCATCACGCGACGGAAGAATAAGAAACATGCGCGAGAAGGGGAAGGCGACGGCGATCAAGATGGTAGCGGGCGGTGAAAGTGGCACCAGTGGTGGGGAGGGCGAGGGGGACACGTATGCCGTTGTTGTTGACGCTGTGAGCGCGGAGAGCAGCAGCGTCCACGTGTACAGATTTGATTCGCGGATGGAGCTGGGGGAGATTCAGAAAGGTTTTGAAGTGGTGCATTCGGTGAGTTTGTTCTGTTCTTCACCTTTCAAAGGTGGAATCTGGAATCAGTGAGTTCCTGTTCATATAAAAATAAAAATTTGTTCTCACTTCCTCGCTTGCTGGTTAATTTTCAATAGCTTCTATCAATAGTTTCCTTTGTTCTTTATTGTAGAGGTCTTTCTAGGCAACGCAAATATTTCCTTCCGCCGCTCATATGCTCTGCTAGAATGCTCTCCCCATACCCATTCTCTGCCTATGCTTCGCCATGCCATGCTATTCGCTGCCATGACAGGTGAAGCCCGGGTTTGGAGCGTAATGGGATAATCTCAAGGCAGCATCGGAAAGCCTGCGACCGTTAATAAGGAAGGCACTTAAAGCCACTCCCATGCTCTCCTCATGCTCTCTTCACGCTCCTTGTTGCCATGGCAGGCGAAGCCCGGGCTGGGTGCATACCAGGATAATCCCAAGGCAGCAGCGGACAGCCATATTTGAGAATACTCAAAAGGGACTCAGAGCCACTGTCACATTCCCTCATTGTTGTTCCTCGCTGTGGCAGGTGAAGCCTGGGCTGGGTGCATACGGGGATAATGTCACAGCAGCAGCGAACAGCCTGCGACCGCTGATGAAGAAGGCACTTAAAGCCGTGCCCGAGTTCTCTCGACCAATCTCACCCGTTCTTGTCAGGGTACGCTGCTGGTTGGCCCTGTTCTTCTCAGGGTATGCTGATAGTTCTGTCAGGGTATGTTGCTGGTTGCACCCAATTAGGCATGCACTAGACCTGCCCCCTACTGTGACTGTATCGCATGGTGATTTTATGCGTGTGTGACTGTATCATGCGCATGTGACTGTATGCATGGCAGGCCAATGGAGGGCAGGGAAGGCTATTAGGAGACCAGGCAGACAAGATCCTGGCAGAGGTGGGGCTTGGGGCTTTGGGCTTGGGGCTTGGGGTTCAGGAGTCCTGGGGGCAGGCCGAGAAGTGGGGAGGGAGGAGGTAGGTGGGGGTGGGAGAAACGAGTGGGGGATGGGATGGCATGGCATGATGCGTAGTTTTCAGTATTCAGCACAGCAGCCAGCCGCTGAGGCATTTTAGAGGCGTGACTGATGGGAAGGCAAGAGTGGAGTCAAACAGAAAGTAGCAGATCCGTTGTCTGTCTTCCCTTCTTCTCTCCCTCCTTTATTGCGGCCTTTTTCTTTCAGCTGAACCCAGGAGGAAATATTTTCCCATATATCCTCAATCCTCTTCCCCCCTTCTAACCCACCCTGCCCTCCCCATCCCCCTCCCCCCTCCTCGCTCCCCTCTCCCCACTCCCCCATCCCCTTTCCCCACCCCTCCTCGTCCCCCAGATCCGCCAGATGCTGACGGAGTACCCGTTCCCGTTCAGCCATGGTGACGTCAGCGTGCTTGATGACAGTGATGCGGGCTTCTTTGCCTGGGTGGGTGGGGCAGGGGAAGGCTGTCGGGGAGATGAGGAGATTTAGATAGTGAGGGCATGTTGATGAGACGGGTTGGTTTGGCCATGGGGCGTTGGGAAGCATGTGGCAAGGTGCATGGATGGCATGGTGCATGGATGGCATGGTGCATGGATGGCATGGTGCATGGATGGCATGGTGCATGGATGGCAAGGTGCATGGATGGCATGGTGCATGGATGGCAAGGTGCATGGATGGCAAGGTGCATGGATGGCAAGGTGCATGGATGGCAAGGTGCATGGATGGCAAGGTGCATGGATGGCAAGGTGCATGGATGGCATGGTGCATGGATGACATGGTGCATGGATGGCATGGTGCATGGATGGCAAGGTGCATGGATGGCATGGTGCATGGATGGCAAGGTGCATGGATGGCATGGTGCATGGATGGCATGGTGCATGGATGGCATGGTGCATGGATGGCATGGTGCATGGATGGCATGGTGCATGGATGGCATGGTGCATGGATGGCAAGGTGCATGGATGGCATGGTGCATGGATGGCATGGTGCATGGATGGCATGGTGCATGGATGGCATGGTGCATGGATGGCAAGGTGCATGGATGGCATGGTGCATGGATGGCATGGTGCATGGATGGCATGGTGCATGGATGGCATGGTGCATGGATGGCATGGTGCATGGATGGCATGGCGCATGGATGGCATGGTGCATGGATGGCATGGTGCATGGATGGCAAGGTGCATGGATGGCATGGTGCATGGATGGCATGGTGCATGGATGGCATGGTGCATGGATGGCATGGTGCATGGATGGCAAGGCGCATGGATGGCATGGTGCATGGATGGCATGGTGCATGGATGGCATGGTGCATGGATGGCATGGTGCATGGATGGCATGGTGCATGCATGGCATGGTGCATGGATGGCATGGTGCATGGATGGCAAGGTGCATGGATGGCATGGTGCATGGATGGCAAGGTGCATGGATGGCAAGGTGCATGGATGTCATGGTGCATGGATGGCATGGGGCATGGATGGCATGGTGCATGGATGGTATGGTGCATGGATGGCATGGTGCATGGATGGCAAGGTGCATGGATGGCATGGTGCATGGATGGCAAGGTGCATGGATGGCAAGGTGCATGGATGTCATGGTGCATGGATGGCATGGGGCATGGATGGCATGGTGCATGGATGGTATGGTGCATGGATGGCATGGTGCATGGATGGCATGGTGCACGGGTGCATGGCACTGCTTATCAAGGCAGTGCTTCTTTCCCCCCCCTTCCCCGTGTTATCCAGACAGCTGTTAACCATCTCCTGGGAAACCTGGGAAAGCACCTGAAAAATCACCTGGAGTCAACAGTGGCAGTGGTGGACCTGGGGAATACCAGCGTCCACGTGGCGTATGCAGTTCCTGCTGATGTGGCAAAGAAGGTTCCAGCTGGACACGTGAGGAGACTGAGCGGTTTGGGAAGCACCCACCACGTCTATGTGCGCAGGTGAGAGGAGAGAAGAGGGGTGTGTGGGGAGAGAAGAGGGGGGGTGTGGTAACATGACAGCCTGTGCGTGCAGGGCAGCAGGCTGAGAGGGAGAGGGATGAGAAAAGAGAGGCGGTGTGTGTTGACGTTGCGTGTGCGCAGGATGCAGGATACGGCTAGCTTCATGCACCAATAACCACTTTTTTAGGCACGTTGAATTGTGAGGCGCCTCAGTAGTCACTTAGCACATCCCTTTCCCCGTCTCTCTCCTCCAATCGGTGTCTGCTTCTCCATCCCCATCCCTCTGCACCGCATCCCACCACGGCACCAGCATGCAGGGCTATGGGCGGATGGCAGGGAGAGCACTGGTGCTGAAAGCAACTAACGACACCCACAACCATCCATGCATGCACGTGGGCTCTCATGGTATGGCCATGCTTCCACGTGGGCCCTCATGATATGGTCATGCTTTTACGTGGGCCCTCAGGGTATGGTCATGCTTCCACGTGGGCTCTCATGGTAGGATTCTGTGCAGCTTCAGTTTTGTGCGTGGAACTGTTGGTGTGGCACAGCCATGCATGCATGCTGAACGAGCCCAAGCAATCTATGATTACCTCTTGGCTCCACTCGGATGCCTGGCTCGGGCATGCCTTTGCATGCCTTTGCATGCCTTTGCATGCCTTTGCATGCCTTTGCATGCCTTTGTAAGCACATTCAATTGTTGTTTTCAGTAAACTCAAACTGTATCCAACCCATGTGCCCCCTTTTTCTCCACACGTCAACCACTCACCCTTCTCCAGGCACATCAGAGCACATCCAATCCCCTGCTTCCTTGCATGCAGCCCTCTGCTCCTAGGCCACCCTCCACGCCCTGCAACAGGCGGCAGCAGCTGCTTCTGCCAGCACCTCCCGCACCACCAGCAGTACCAATACCTTATCCCTGACCCACACCCCTTCCACCCACCCACCCCACTGCAGGCACATCCAAGCCCAGCAGCGACGGCACCGCCGCCTCGTTGCAGGCAGCCCTCTGCTCCGCCCTCAAACTCCCCCATCCATTGCCCCTCCCCCTGCCTCACATGTCACCCACCCACCCCACTGCAGGCACATCCAAGCCCAGCAGCGACGGCACCTCTGCCTCTTTGCGTGCAGCCCTCTGCTCCTCCCTCACCCTTCAAGCTCTCCAGCGGGCAGCAGCAGCTGCCAGCACCACCAGCGCAAGCAGCAGCACCACCGGCAGCGCTGACAGCCACCCGTCATCTGCCCATGCATCGTCCGATGCGATGCTGAGGTCTGCGGCACCTGTGTGCCCGCAAGGGCGGGCCTGCTTGCTGCCTGGCGCGCTGGATGGGCTTAGGGGTGCACTACGCAGAGGAGGCAGAGGAGGCAGAGGAGGAGGAGAGGGCGCAGTGCGGCTCGCCGCCACCTCGGGAATCTTCCACATGGCACAGCAGGTGGGCTATGATGCTTGTTTGTATCACTCCTGAAGATTCTCAATCCAAGCAGTCTCAAATGCGATGCTGCCTGGTGCGCTGGATGGGCTGTGGGGAGGAGGCAGAGGAGGCAGAGGAGGGAGGGCGCAGTGCGGCTCCTCGCCTCCTCAGCACTTTTTGACCCTGTGCAACAGGTGGGCTGCTCTTGTGTTCCTTTATGCAATAGAAGATTGTTACCTAATCCTTCACCTTGGCTAGCCCCTTTCACCAAGCCTGCTATCAACAATAAAAAAAAAAAAGATTTGAGAGATTTCAAGAATGATGCTGGCATGGAGGATGGTATGGGGGGTGGAGGCAGAGGAGAGGGAGCAGAGCAGGTCGTTGCGACCGCAGCTTCATTTGGCCGCGAGCACAACAATTGGGCCGGGGGTTAAAGCCAGCTGTGATGGGGTAAGAGGAGGTTCTCATGGGGGAAAGGCGTGTGCCTCTTGCACTTTGATATCCCCACGTAACTCCCAAAAATCTGCTGTTTCCTCAATGCGCCCTCATCCCCCCAACATTTGATCTCCTCCGCGATGTCTTTGCCACAATCTCACTGATATTCTCCTGCAATTTGCACCTTTGTCGCACTCCCCGTCATGAGCAGTTCGGCCTAATCCCTCGCAACAACTCCACCACAGTAACCACGGCAGCACCCACCGCAGCTCGCATCACGGCTCAACACTTGGCTCGGATAGCAGAGGAGACATGCGGCATTCCCCTGCAGGAAGTCTCCAAGAAGTTTCCGCTGATGAACGGCCAGGATGCGCCATACGCCTGTCTAGATGCGAGCTACCTCTTCCACCTCCTCACCTCGGGATTAGGTAATCTCGTCACCTCGGGATTAGGTAAAATATCCCCACCTCAGGTTTAGCGGATTTCCTACTTTTTCTCTTGCCATGTCTAGTGCGTCTTGCACTGTTGCACAATGCCGTACTTGCACTATTGCACAGGCTCACTCTTGCAGTGCTTCGCAATGGAACCCTCAAATGTTCTGACATACACAGAGCATGCACCGGCAGCATGCCGCCCCTTTGCATCCCGATTCTTACATCCTCCTTTCTCCCCTCACATCCCCTCGTCTCAGGTCCCTCTTCCCGTATTCCCTTCCCAACATTCCGCCAGGCATGGAGCCCACAGACCCACTCACACCTGTGAAGCAGGCGGCTCACAATGCACCATCCACTGAGGCAGCATGGGCATGGCACTATGGTGCTGCTGTCAGCACAACCATGCATGCTCATGCCTACGCCGTGTTCTGATGTGAGTCGAATCAACAGGGAATGCTCAAGCCCTACGCCATGTTCTGAGTGAACTCCACATCTGAGTGAACTCCAGATCTGAGAGTCGACTCAACGGGTGCCTGTGAATGGCTGCGCTGTGCTTTGAGTCAACTGAACCCTAGATTCCAATGGTTGCAGCCAGGTTACCCTGTTACCGTATTGTGCACGTTCACTTGACTGACACCCACCCTGCTGTGTTCTGCAGCAGCCATTGCATGAGGCATGCTTGGTAGGAATTCTGTACAAAGAGCTTGCAGAGCAGATGCGATAAAGTACCGTACTTCGTTTAAGCAAGTTGATATGTACACAGCAAGTACTACACATAGTGTTGCTAACAGCCTTACAATAAGGGTAGGGTTATGTTCCCCCATGTAGCCCATACCTAGTTCGCAGCAATCACTGGCTAGCATTGAAAAGCGAAAACAGCTGCTCTGAACCTACGGTAAGATCCACAGCAGCAGACCATATGGTACGGTACTTTTAAGCTTTCCCCCTCACCTCACACAGTCCATGTTCATTTTAGGAGCGCCTCAATATGGAGCTTCAGAGCTGACTCGGAAACTGAAGACTCCTCCTGGAGGCTGCTGCCTGCAACGCACTGACTTTTGAGTCGACTCAGAAGTCAACTTCTGAACCCATGCACTCCCCAAGGTCCACACCATGCCCACACCTGGACTGTCCGCTTCCAGATTTCAGGACCCAAGAGTCATTCGTCAGGACCACACCAGGACTCTCCACTTCCAAAACCGCACTCCACACATCTCAACTCCTGCATGCTGCACAGCTCCATATGCATACCTCAGTAAAAGCCTGAAGCCTCACACCTGGATCAAGTTGAGAAGACCACTCCTCACTCCTGCCAGCTGCAGATCTAAATGCACACCTGACTAAACACCTGAAGCCCCAAAAGCCCGCACGACTGAGTAGGTGATTCCCATGGCCAGCCAGCCGCCCACAGTCGTCCTCAGTGCCGCCCGGGCCTGAGGTGCGCCGCCCAGCCACGCGCCGAGCGCGCCCAAAAAGACAAAGAGCGCGGAGGAGAATGCGATGAGTACAGTGATGCGCGTGTTGTAATCTGTAATGAAGCAGCCTGAGAGGAGGGGGAAGATCCCCCCTAGAAAGAAGGAGATGGCCGAAACCACTGCCGCCTGCATGGGTGGGTGGGTGGGTAGAGGGGGGGAGGGAGGCATGGGTAGTCCGGTTATATGGGGGAGAATGCGTCTGTAACGAATCAGCTAAGAAGCAGCTTTTGGGACCAAAAGAGGGGTGAGTGCCCAAGAAAAAAGATTGGACAGGCGAGACGAGAGCTGCTTGAAAGAGGAAGGGAGGGCATTGGGAGAGGGGAGCACGAGGCAAATAGGGACTAGAGCAGATCTTTATGATGGGCTCTCATGGTTTGATGATACCACCTGATTCAAATGCCATCATCCATCCGTTCCCCATCGATTCCCATTCATTCCCATCTATTCCCATGCAATGACCATCCATTTCCATCCAATAGGCATCCATTTCTATCCCTTAATATTCCCACACGTTAATATTTCCCTCCATTGATATCCAACTCCATCCTTTCCGTCCATTTTCACACATTCCCAAACATTTCCATCCATGCCCATTTTTCCAACTCTCACCTGCCCCGACACCTGCCCCGACACCTGCCCCGAGTCTCACCTGCCCCGGATCCGACAAGTCATCCAAGTCGATGCCCAGTTCCTCTCTCGCGTGCGCTCTTATAGGATCGTTCGCGTGCAGTGCCTCCGCCACCTGCCGCGCCAGATCGTACGGCACTCCGCGCGCCACGTAGATCTGCGTCAGCTCGCGCAACTCCCGCGCCACCGCCTCGGGCCCCTTCTCGAATTCTTCCCGCTCTTTTTTCAGATCCGCCTCCTCCGAGTCGCGCTGTCCGTATACCGAAATGTACTCTCCAATAGCCATGCTGCACGCCCCCGCTATAAGCCCGGACAGCCCCGATATAACCATCATCGTTCGGGAGGTGTCTACAGCGCCGACTCCGAGCATTAAGGAGGTAATGGAGACTAGGCCGTCGTTCGACCCGAGAAGCGCGGCGCGCAGCCATGGCGAGCGGTGCGAGTAGTGAGCGTGACCTATGGTTGAATCCGCGCCGCTTCCATGTGCGGCTGCGGAAAGAGCTGCGTTTCCTTGTTCTTGCCTGCCTCCAATATCGGAGCTCGGGTGACCGCCGCCGGCGTCGCCGGCGCCGTCTAGTAGCGGTGCTGCTGACGAGCTCGCCGTTCCGATTTCCGGATCTTGCGGAGCAAGAAGTGGCTGCCTCATGGTTGATGGCGGTATGGCACGTGTCAGAGGACCACGCAGGAGACGGGATTTAGTAGTGGTGGAACTCGGCAAGTCGGTTCGCGAGGTGCGTGAAAAGAATTTACCGTTTCTAGTGAGCCTGGGTACATCAATCAGCTGACGCGTGTCCCTTGCGTGGAACTGTATCCGCTAAAATGTATTTCCTTACATGGTCTTGTTCTGTTGTGGTTTGTTACTATTACAGCTGTGCGTGTTGTTATGGTGTGTTATGAGTTGTAAAAGAGAGTGCGCAGGTAAACGAATAACGAGACTGTGATTAACTGATCTGAGAATACAATGAAGGCACAGACTAATGTAGGGGCTAGCCTAGCTAGGAGGAAACCTCAGACGAGTGAGGTTGGGGTGCAGGTTTGGCGATGGGAAATGCCGAAGGCGACGCGAGGAGCCTCGGCAGCTGTCAGAACTAGCAGTCAGAAACAAGAATGAAGAAAGGAGTGGTTGCACTAGCAAGCAGTTGAGTACATATAGGAAACCCTAAATTGGGCTGTACTCGCTATAGAGTACCCCACTGCAGGCTAGACAAATACAACATTCTGACACACCCCCATAGCAAGCAAAGCTAGAGGCATTCACAACGGGCACGTGAGGAGGAAAAGGCTGGACTATGAGAGGAGAGGAGATGGGAGGCAACGGCTGAAGCTGCAGACACACGGGCAACAGGAGCGGCTGGCACAGTGGCTACCGGGACAGCGCCCCGGACTACAGGGAGTAACTGGCTCTGCGGCTAACTCTGAGCGGCAGAAGCAACGGACCCACGGGCGACAGGCGCAGCAGGCTCTCTGGGCTACCAGGACAGCGCCCCGGACTACAGGTGCTGCGGACGACAAGACGGCAGACTCCGCTCAACCTCCCCCAACTGTCCCACCCCCCATTCACACACCCCTTGCTGTACCCCTAGCTCCACTCCCACGTCACCCCCCTAGCACCACTCCTTCGGCTCCCACACACCCACCCCCCTCAGCGGCAGCTGCAGCAGTGGGAGACGGAGGAGGAGGAGGAGTAGGGGACGGCGCACACAACCGGCACCCCCACAACCGCCACCCCCATACCCTGGGTGTGCGGTAAGCGAGTTCAGGTGTGCGCAAAGCGAGCACAAGCGTGCGGGAAGCGAACTCGGGTGTGCGGAAAGCGAACTCAGGTGTGCGGGGAGGGGGGCCGCAAGGCGACGCGCGGGTCGACGGGGCCGCCGCGAAGGGCGACGGGGAGCCGCGCGCGAGTCGACGGGGCCGCCGCAAAGGGCGACGGGGAGCCGCACACTGGTCGATGGGGCCGCCGCGAAGGGCGACGGGGAGCCGCGCGGGTCGACGGGGCCGCCGCGAAGGGCGACGGGGAGCCTCGCGCAGGTCGACAGGGACGGGCGCGCGGGTCGACGGGGCAGCGCGAGAGCCGACGGGGGGGCGCGCGCGGGTCCCCTGAGGCGACGCGAGGGTCGACGGGGGGGCGCGCCATGCAGAATACCGCCGCGCGCCCCGTGGCACACGGCGGGCAGAAAACCGCCGCACGCCCCGAGCGCACGGCGGGATGAAAAACGCCGCGTGCTACGAGCGCGCGGCAGGAAGAAAGGGGCGCGCGACAGCAGTAGAGCAGCGGAAGCAACGGGTGGGGCCCACCCACAGGATCGACCCAGGAGGGTCGACCTGCTCTGATAGCATGTCAGAACTAGCAGTCAGAAACAAGAATGAAGAAAGGAGTGGTTGCACTAGCAAGCAGTTGAGTACATATAGGAAACCCTAAATTGGGCTGTACTCGCTATAGAGTACCCCACTGCAGGCTAGACAAATACAATATTCTGACAGCAGCGTTGAAATCGGCCGAACGTGCAAAGTCCGAAAATCGGGCTGTACGCGTAGCAGTCAACCCCGATAAGGAATTCGGGAAAATTCCTTACACTACCCCCCCCCTTAAGAAAGGCGGTCAATATCTGAAACACGCCGGCGCGCCAAATAATCACGAACAAGTGACGAGGCGTCGAGTGAGTCAGAATGCACCCACGTGTCATCTTCACTGGTGCGGTCAGTCCAACGGATGAGGAAATCCACGTGGCGACCAGCTGCGTCAAGGCGAACCCGATGTGCCAGAATCTTCGAAGGGTCGAGAGTCGGCTCCGGGACAGGTCGTGCAGTTGGGGCAGCTTGTTGCCGCGCGATGTCGGTCGTGGCTGGCACGAACTTGCGAAGCAGGCTGACGTGGAAGGCGTCATGAATTCGCCAGTCGTCGGGTAGCAGCTGCTTCGCGGTGACAGGTGTCACCATCTTGATAATCTTGAATGGCCCACAAAATCGTGGTCGTAGTTTTGACGGGCCGGGCAGGTGCAGGTTCTTCGTGTCAAGTAGCACTAATTGCCCAGTGGTCAAGACGAGTTCCCGGCGTAGAAGGTCGGTGTATTTGCGGGAAGTTATATTCGCCTTGCGAATTGCGTCTGCGGCTTTTTCGCGGGCTTCTTGTAGTTCCGTCACAAAAGTTTGTGACCTCGGTACTGGGTTGTCGAGGGAAGTCGCTGTAGGAACCGTCGGGTCCATCCCGTAATTCAGGAAAAAACGGGGAGTGGTTAGTCGTACTAGACGGTGCGTTGTTGAAGGCGAATTCCAACATGGCTAGAGATTCTTCCCAGCGGGCAGGGTCGGGGCAGTTTGTCCTGATCAGCT